ACACACACACACACACACACACACATAATTTTAAATATTTTTATTTAAATAAAATAAGCTGCTGTCGAGTTGATTTGGCTCATAGTGACCCCTCCTTCGGTTTCCAAGATGGTATCTCTATGGAAGTAGATTGCCCAACCTTGGTATCTGTAATTCCTTATTACTTAAATGAATGAGCAAAAAAGTGAAATTTTACTGTAATGCAATTGAGAGCAATTCAGTCCTCAGGATGCCATTAGCTTTCTAGTGATTTCAGTGAAGCACGGTTTTCCAGGCCATCTTTTTTTGGACTGAGGCAGATTCCCTCACAAGGATGAGGGTGCTTATTTTCCAAGTGACAACTTGATTTACTCTTTTCCTTCTCATCACTTTCAAGAAGCATCTGCAAGCTAGTGAGTAACCCAGTCAGCATGGAAAAGTCCATCTATTTCTTCATTGCATCTCTCCTATACAGAGTCTGAGGAGAAGGGTTGGAAATGACCTCAGGAGGTCAGGTTACCTCTGTGTTCTCTTTTGTAGTGCAGGCATACTCATAGTGACACAATTTCCTGTCTGCTGGCACACTTTACTATTATAATACCTGTGTGATGGGATGCGGCAGGCGAAGGAGTCTATCATTTGTCCTTGGGGGATAGCTCCACAGTTTGATCTATACTAATGCTTTGTTTGGCCCTAAAATACATTGTAAGGGAAGTGGAACAGGGAGAAGCAAGAGTGTGGTCACTTGTACAATCTTTTGTCTTTCTAACTCAATCAGTGGGTTTCTTCTTCAAATTCTGCCAGAAAATGTCTTTAGGTAATGGAAATAGAATCCACTCTAGTAAAAGGATTTCTACTTTCTCTTCATAATTGAAAGCATAATCATCCTACATCCCAACAGCTAATGTGGATGTCTGCCCACAGCTCTCAAGAGGCCTTTAAAGATATTCTGGTTCTGGAGGTTGGATTCTGAGCAGGTTATGTGGAAAAGAAACAGAATTGTGCAAGACCTAATTTATACTTGCCTTGCCCTGTTCCTTTTGCTAGCAAACTAGCTAAATTACTGTTCTGGGTCAAGGTACCTTTCAGAAATGAGGCTGTTATGCCCCTCCGCCCAGGCATGAGCAATGATAAAGGAAGATTGAAGACTTGATGCATTTGAATTGTGGGGTTGGCAAAGAATATTAAAAATACTGTGGACTGCTAGAAGAAAGAACAAATCAGTCTTGTAGGAACTACAGACAGAGTTCTCCTTAGAAGTGAGGATGGTATGACTTTATCTTGCTTATTTTGGATCCATCATCAGGAAAGACTAATTGGTAGAAAAGGACATCATGGTTGGTAAGCGGAGCGTCAGTGAAAACAAAGGAAACCTTCCATTAAATAGATTGACATGGTGGCTGCAAGGATGGACTCAAACACATCAACACTCGTGAGGATGGTGCAGGACCAGCCAATGTCGTGATCACTTAAGATCACTATGAGTCCAACCTGACTCAACAGCAGCTAATAACAATAGGGATGAGCAGCCACCACCCATCTGTCATTTTGTCCTACTTTGGTGGCTCATATGTTGCCATGATGCTGGAGGCTGTGCTACTGGTATTTCAAATACTAGCAGAGTCATCCATGGTGGACAAGTTTTTACAGAGCTTCCAGATAAAGACTCGAAGAAAGCCTGGCAATGTCCTTTCAGATTTTAGCTAGTGAAAATCTTAAGAATCACAGCAGAACATTGTCTGACTTGCTTGCTTGGACACATGCTCAGGAAGGATCAATCATTGGATGAGGATATCATGTTTCATGAAATATAGGGCCAACAAGTATGAGGGAGACCCTCATTGAGATGGATTGACACAATATCTGCCACAATGTACTCAAACATGCTAGCAATTGTGAGAATGACACAGGACTGAGTAATATTTCACTCTGGGGTACATAGGCTGCTGTTCCAAACCAAACTCACTGCCATTGAGTCAGATCCGACTCACAGTGACCCCTCCTTAGGTTTCCGAAGGAGTATCACTATGGAAGTAGATCGCCCAATCTTCCTTCTGAGGAGTGGATGGTGGGTTTGAACCTCTAGCCTTCTGGTTAGCAGTCAAATGCCTTAGGCACTACACTACCAGAGCTCCTTAGTAGAGTCAATCAATGGCAGCTAACAACAATAACCTCATGGATTACAGGGAGGAGCAGATAAGTTATGAATTGTTGGACTTCTTGAGAAATTCATTTCTGCAGTTATCTACCCACTGCCTTGGGCTCCGTACTTCTTTAGTCATCATCAGAGTATCTTTGCCTAGGAAGCAGTGGCCTGAAGTATATGGTGATGTGTTAAGCTCTGACCTTGAGAACCCAGAACCTCTCATTGTAGCTGCACAGGTGGAGGGGGTATGATGCGGTTCCTGCTGAATTTGTCATCAGAGAAAGGGAGGCAGCAGGTAGGTCCAGGACTACAGGCAATCCCTTTGTCTGGCAGGGAGGACAGCAGCAGCCCATGTGTTTTTGTGCCTCATTAGCTGCAGGGTGGGCCAGGCCAGGATGGCCAGCCAGAGTTATCTTTGCATCATTGCAGATGAAAGTACTGCACTGCTGCACTGAGGCCAAATTGAAGGACAAATGATGGGAAGATGAGACTAATTCTGTCTGTATCTCTGAAGGACATTATCAGGAAGGAAGGAAATATACAGATGTTTACTTCCTTCTGTGAACTCTGGTTTGGTACACTGTCTCTCATAGGAATATTTTGCTAATATTCTTGCCCAGTGAAATGGAAAACTCACCCCAGTAACTATATCAGCATTCAGGCTGAACCTTTCCCAGGCATCCCCTTGGAATGACCTACCTACCTACCAGTTGCCATCGAGTTGACGTCAACTCATGGCACCCTGTGTGTCAGAGCAAGTTCTGTGCTTTCAGTGGTTTTCAATGGCTGATTTTTCATAAGTAGATTGTCAGGATTTTCTTACAATGTATCTCTTAGTAAACCTGAGCCTCTACCCTTTTGGTTGACAGCTGGCCGTGCTAACCATTTTCACCATGCGGGGACGCCACCTCTTTGGCACAGTGGTTCACATGTGTTCCCATCCTTAGTTGGTCACCCTGCCTTCATTTCTTTCCATTGCTCTACTATATTCATCTTTTTAAATACCAATTGGACCATTTCATTCCTCTCAGTAAAATTATGTATAACCTATAGGATCAACTCCAGATTTCTTGATCTCAAAGCCCTGTTTATGTTCTTAAGAAACTAATCCATCAAGAACCACAGGCTTCTTTAGACAAAGATGTTCATTTGCCCACATTTCTTAGGTTAAATATTAAGAAAACACTACACTGGATCTTTTAATCCACTGATATTTTTCAGAAGAAACAGAATTATTACTATATAAATCACTGGTTATCTTCTTTTTTGGGAGGATTAGAGAACAGAATTGAGTAAGTGCTTGTTAATACTATGTATATATCAGTATTTGAATTAACAAGCCATTTGAAAGATCAATACTTTACATATCTTATGCAAATTGATTTAAAATCTTGAGTTATACATATCCATGTTGCATCTAGTGTTTAATCAATTGGACACTTACAAATAATGGGTAGACAATTTGTTGTCGTACAGAGTTGAGCTCTGCTTTTCATGCAGTGAGAATAACATTTTTATTTTTAACACTTATGCAATTGATTGCAAACTTTGGGGTGATATAATTTAAATGGAACTAAACAGTCCATTAGCTATGTCAGTGCCTACTTTCTTGCCAAGCTGTAGCTTTATGCTAAGCAGTTGTGTACTGTGTTATATAATTCCCTGCATTGATTTTCGCCACCTATTTTGCTTCAGCACATACAAGGTGACTGCATTGTCTCTTCAACCTCCTTCTCAGTGTAATCACTAAGGCTATAAGAAAGATTTGGGGTAATACTACATTTTTCTAATGGAGGTTTGGAGAATTGAATGGGCTTAGAAATGTATGACTGTCACTTTTTGTTTTTTCTCCTTTTGGTTACATTCACTGTCAATTCGGTATGGTTTTCAAGGTAATACGAAAGTGCTTGAGTCTCAGCTACTGGAAGGAAAGTAAGATAGGGTGGGGGTCTTAGGTGAAAAATATCAGCTATTGGAGTTTACAAAGGAACAAGTTCTTCACTGTCCTCACACTTTCTCCTTTTTAGCTCCTTATTTGCATTTTTACAGAGCCAGTCAGTTCCGGGATGGTATAAATAGTTAATGCACTAGGCTGCTAATGCAAAGGTTATTGATTCTAGTCCACTCAATGGTCCCTCAGAAGAAGGACTTGGCAATCTACTTGCAAAAAAAAAAAATCACAGCCATTGTAAACCCTATGGAGTGCAATTCTATTCT